ATGTTGTGTATCTATGTTAGAAAACAATCTAAATTTCTGTTAGGATTTAGAACAATTGGATTATTTGGCAATTTAAAATTATATTCTTTTGACCTAACTTACAAATATTATGTAGCTTTTTTCTATTATTATATATATATATATTTTTTAATTCTATCATTACTGCAATAATTACAATACAATAGTTTTGTGCCAAAGAAAGTTCAGTACATTTTGGATGAATCTCAATACAAGTAAACAGTAAATGACTTCAGTCCGTAGTAATGCAAAATCTATTTTAAATATTTATTCCAGTTAATACAATTATTGTATAAGTTTGTCATGATAAATATTTATATAATAATAAATAAATCTAGCTTTCATGAATACATACAAAATAATCTATTGTGAAAGGTTTGAAATTAAAAAATGTATTAAAAGTAATAATTAATGTGTACACATAATTTCATTAATAGCTATTTTTTATGTTTAGCATTTTAATATACCTTATTGTTTTGATTAAAATATAGCGTGAATTTAATTTATGCATATTATATTATGAATAGGTCTTGGAATTTATTGCACTTTGAAAATTGATTACATTAGTGCAGTAAAACACCAGAAATATMACTAAAAAATTTATTTATTTTCATTAGTAAGTGACATTAGGTATAGTTAAAATTAAAAAATTATTAAATTTAAATTTAACTGATTTTCCTTCAGTCTTTTAAGAACTTTATATTTCATTTGTTTTAGTATATTTTCATTATAAAAACTGATRTACCTTAAAAATGAAGTTAAAAACTGCTTCACGTTGAAAGAGATAATAGGAGCATATTTAAAATAAATTGTTTCTAAAATGAATGATTATTATGGCCATTTATTGGCTATAATTTAATTTTTTATTGTTTGAACAAATTATGTTTCATATTTGTTGTGAAAGCCCTTATATTTTTCTAGAACATTTTTAAATTTATCATTTATTAACATCAAGATTGATTTAAGCCATTCAACCACAAATTGTTAGTATAGTAGCTTTTGCATTCAATTATTCATGGTAGGTACTAATATACGCTTCCACCAGATACCCACAACTAGGTATCAGAAACCTTTCCATACAAGCCTTATCTGAATACCCAACCAGATGATTCAAGTGAAACTGGTGCTGTGACTTAATACTTGTATATATTGTGAATTGTAAATGTAAATGAAAAGCTGCTAGGTATCTCTAATGTAAAATTTCCTATRAATGACCTACTGGAATAATTCTCATGCCATCATTCACAGTTATTCTCATTTTTACCACGATTATTATTTATTGCACACCTGTATAGATTGTAATATTATCTAAAATAAAATTATATTAAATATCAAAATATTGAATAATATATGCAAAAAAAGTTTTTTGATTTAGTAACATCTATTATGATATTATAATTATATAATTGTTTACAATATTTTAGGGTATTAGGKMYTTAGTTAGCTTTATTATGGTTTTAAAGCGTCAACTCAAAAAATTCTAATGGAAACCTATACTTTTTTGCAAACATAACGTGGTGGAATTTTTGAAATAGATTTTAGTGCATGAAAAACATTAATTAATGCAAACTATATTCTTGAGAGTTATTGCCAAAAGGTATAGGTTTACATTTGATTTTCTAAATTTGACCCCCCAAAAATGTTATTAACAATTATAAAATTGAGAAAT